CAGCGACCCTGCCAAAGTGCTCATTTCCAGATCCCAACAACTTTTCCTGGCTGTGATCTGTGGGTGCAGGGAGCCGTGGGACCGGGAGCTCCTCTGGCTGGCGCTGGGGGCTGTGCGTGCAGGTTTGGGGGGCACGGGGACCTGGAGGAAGTGGGGCGCCACCTCCCCCGAGCCCTCTCGCCAGGTCCTTCCAAGTTTCTCTACAGCTTTCCAGATTTCCTTTTTTACTTTTAGTCGCCCATGCGAGTCAGTGACCTGGGCACACCAGGAAAAGATCTGTGTTCTTAGAATGCAAAACAAGAGCTGGAAATAGTTTCATCAAGAAATACATCTTTCAGAGCTTCTGGAAAGGAGGAGATTAAAAACCCGCTCCCAGGAAGACCTTTACCTCCACAGTTCACAAAGCCTGTGCTTGAAAACACACTGTAGTGGTTTTAGGGCTCTTTTTATTTAAAAGGTGACAGGGTCACCACCATCAAGCAGGATTTTTTCAGGAGGGGAAAAATTCCCCCCTTTTTTTCTTTTTCTTTTTTTAAGCAGACAGCTTTTCTTCCACGGGAGAGAATGTTCACAGCTGGAATCTACAATGTCTTACCTTTGGTTTCTATGTGCTTCAGGTGGGATTTTTTTTGTTAAACTGTGGGTTCCCTGTTTGTTAAAGGGATTACACATAATTGAGGAATGTACTGGCTAAGTGATGGGCTCACCTTCCAGAAACTTCATAAAGACATGTTCAGAGAGATTAGATACGTCACCCTACTCTTTTTGTAATGATTGAAATCCAAGTACATTCACCCCTAAAAGTTCTAACTTCCAAAAGATGACTCGATATGGATATGGGTCTATAATTGTGGTGGGGGAGGGAACACACACACACACACACACACAGAGGCAGATTTTTTTTTAGATCAATAAAGAATAAAGATACGTGTGACTACGTTTCACTCCAGAGATTCACTGAACTCTCACCTACAGCAGGCAGCCATGGTGGGCAGGAATGGCAGCTTGTGGTACAGATTATTTCCACATTCTAGTTCGTTTAGTGTGGCCCACATTGTTGAGATAAGTGTCCAGACAAATTTATTTTGTTAATCTACTTTCTCTAAGGCATAATTTTTGTTTTTGACCTCCAGAGCAGCCTAACTCCTTCATTGTGGATGAAGGCTTGGGGCTGGGAAGGTGGCTCAGTGGTAGAGCACTTGCCTTGCATGCATGAGGCCCTGGGTTCCATTCCTCAGCACCACATAAGCAAAAAGAAAAAAGCTGGAAGTGGTGCTGTGGCTCAAGTGGTAGAGCATTAGTCTTGAACTGAAGAGCTGAGCGACAGTGCCCAGGCCCAGAGTTCAGGCCCCATGACCGGACCAGGCTGACCCAGATCCCTGTTCACCTTGAAGTCAAATATTCAATGATGACCATGTAAGAAAGAAAATAACTTTAATTTTCAATGGCTACATCACATAATCCAGTTCATACACTCACAGAGAAGTAGCTAAATAATTTAGGCCTATTTTCCCTTTTAGCAATTTTGTGCTTCTACCTGATTGGGCAATAATCAACTGCTCCTTTGAAAAATGACTGTAACTAATATTGGGTGTGATGACTCCCAGCTATAATCCCAGATACTTGGCAGGTAGAAATCTGGAAGATTACAGTTCAAGGCCAGACCAAGCAAAAAGTTAGTAAGATTGTCATTGGGCGTGGTGGTAATACACTGTAATCCTAGCCACTGGATTATGGAAGGTGTAGGTAACAGGACTGTGGCTTGAGGCTAGCCCAGACAAGTATGAGACCCTTTAAAAAAGAAAGAAAGAAAGAGAGAGAGAAAGAAAGAAACTTTTAAAGCCAAAAAAGATGTGGCTCAAATGGTAGAAAATTTGCCTTCAAAACTGGAGCCCTCAGTACGACCTGTGCGTGTGTGTGTGTGTGTGTGTGTGTGTGTGTGTGTGTGTGTGTGTAACCATGTAACCAGCCACCTAGAGTACAACATATTTCCTATAATATTTTCTGTGATATAGATTTGAATCTGGGGAGGGTTTGGTCATACTAAGAAGAGTAGCATGTCAGCATTTTACTCTCAATGTATTTGAAGTTGGAAGTAGAGTGGGTGAAGAATGGAAAGCATTCTTTTGCTATAGAATAGTCCTTTATGGAAAGAACATAACTCGTAGTCGGTTGGGCCAGAGTTCATTCTGTGATAACAGAATCTACTGTAGCTTGTTACAGTAAAAAGAGATTCAGGGTATTCATCTCTCTACAGACATCTAGAAAGGATTGAACAAACCAACACCAGTTTGAGCTGTCAGGAATAACTGGGTCAGAAAAGGACCTTGTAGGAGCTCATGCCTCTCCTAGGATCAAGCAGACTGCTTCCACAGTCTGGTAATCACTGTAAGCAGGATGCTACTTTTGTTGGCAGCTGCGGGCCTATGCCTCACCTGCTGGGATATCTAACAGAGTGGAGGCCTGCACGTTGCTCTTTAACACTCATGACACGATGGAGGCTAGAAGCAAATTAAGACAACTACAAAAATAAAATAACTATCAATGTCGAGGCATAGCTGGAAAAACAGCAAACACATAGGTTCTACTTTCTTCTTTTGAATTTTGTTTTACTGCAAGTAGAGCATACTAGATGCTCCAAAAGCCAAATCTTTTTGAACATGTTGGTTCTGGACAAGTTGTAGGCTTCATAACATCAGATTTTGCATTTTCAGTCTGGCACTGTCTGAGCAACCAGAAGAACCGATGCGTATTTTCCAAAATTATAAACAGAAATCTGCAACATTTCATGTCCTAAACATTTCAGTTGAAGGATAGGGAGGGGCTGAATGTAAATCATGTTGAGAATGGAGCCTGCAGAGATGGCTGTGGCTTCTCCTGCAGATGCAGGAAAGCACATGAAAGAGATCATTGAATATCACTCACATGGCCAGCTAAACCACCTCTATCAAAAAGGGGAAACAAAGAGTTTTCTAAAGAAAATCTAAAGATTGCTCCATTCTCAAGTTGTCCTTATAGAATCCAGGGGTTCCTGGACATGGGAGAGCACACTGCAAATGCATATAATACACATATATATGTAATTTTATTTTATTTGTGTGATGTATTAATAAGTATATGTTGTATATACATATGTGCTCCATAAAAATTTAATATCTGTGTAAAATCATATAAACAATTGATTCATTTTATATATGTGTGTATATATATGTCTATTAACCTCTGATTGAAATTTAATATTTATTTAAATTATGAGTGTAGGATAATAATGCAATGTTAGCAGGGCTTGTGACTGTCACAATAGAATTCACAAATGTTTTCACATATTATGGTTATTTCTAAATACTATCTATTTTGAATATCACTAATTGACTTTACTAGAACTTGTACATTTAGTGTGTTGATAGCAAAATGTAGCTAGGTATGCTGGCACACACCTGTTATCCCAGTATTCAGGAGATAGAAGCAAGAAGAAGAAGTAAGAGTTTTAGGCCAGCCTGGGTTGTTACAGAGCAAGCCCCTGATTCAAAAAGCAAAATCAATAGCAAAATATAATATTACTCTATTATAAATTTCCTTTTTTAAAATCCTGAAACAATTTAATTTAATACAGTTGATTCATAATATGTTGTATTTTGTGAACATAATGTTTTCCTAAGAAGGTATATATTCTACCAGACTTTAAAGGAAGATACTGGAAAGATTTTTGTTTGGTTGTTTCTTTTTTCTGACTGTTGCCTCCATTTTTTTCCTAACTACTTAAACTTGTCTTTGAAAAATCAAACTCCATCTTAAGGACTCAAAGGCAGCATCTGGTACCATGAACTCACCTACCTGACAGTGTCTTCATTTGCTTGAGCTGCTGTAATAAAGCATAAAGGGCTGGCCACTTAAAACTACAAAGGTTTACCATGGCATGGCTCCCATGTGCAGGTTGCGTTCCTGCTGAAACTTAGAGCTTTCCACCAGGCCTCTCCTCAACACCTAATGACTTTCCAAAGTGTCTGTGGTCCTTCTCTGGGAGATGTTGATGCCCATCCTCCTGATCACATGACATTCTTTCTTCTGTCCCTTCCTATTATCTCCCCTCTGTGTGTGTGTGTGTGTGTGTGTGTGTGTGTGTACGCGCGCACGCATGTGTGTGTGTGCGTGCGCGCATGCCTCCAATCCTGTGGATTGAACTCAGGTTCAGCCTGAGCTTTTGTGCTGAAGACTAGTGCTCTACCAGTTTGAAACACAGCTCCATTTCTGGCTTTTTTGGCAATGAATTGGAGAAAAGAGTCTCACAGACTTCTGCCCAAGCTGGTTTTGAATGACAATGCTCAGATTTCACCCTCCTGAGTAGCCACCAGCACCTAGTGCCTTCATCTTCCTACTTCTGCAAGGACACCAGTTACACTGACTGGGTCCAGCCTGATGAGCTCCACTTGGTTAAATCTACACATACCCTCTTTCCAAACATGGTCACTTTCTGAAGTGCTGATGGTTCAGATTTCAGTATACCTACTGCATACAACGTAGCCCATAGCAAGGAGCTTCTGTTATCAGTAAGCTACCAATATCATCAAGGCTCTGTTTAATGTTCTCATATGTGACTCAGTCATGCAGATTTAAGAATAAACAAGGGTTGATTACCTGGTAAAGATTGAGCCATAAGAATAATCAATTACCGAGGTTGTCTAGAAGTACAACATCTCATTATTTTTGTTTCTAAA